GCCTCAAATATGGAGTTACGTGAACTCTGATGATGATTATCTCAGAGTGATTTCATCCTGACACAGTCCTGCAGACAAACGTCAGACAGGTTTGAGTTCTTTAGTTTAAAGTCTCACTTGATCACTTTTGAAGCAAAGAGGAAATGTGAAGCTGCTGTCAGTCACGCTGTTAACGTCTACACGAGGAGCAAATCAAAGGTTTCTGAGGCTGAAGAGGACAAACACCAAACAGTGGCAGGAGATCCAAGCGTCACCGGCGAGAGCTGACCGTTCAGGTCAGCCTCAGTTTTATTCACACAGCTTTGAATCCCAGGAGCCGTTTAGTGTGCCAGCTTTTATTTCTGGACGTCCCGCCGTCCTCACCTGCTCTGTGCAGCTTTGTAAGGACGACCTGCTGCTACCTCATCAAACGTCACTACACTCAAAGCAGCTAACTGAAAACACGCACTTTAAAGTTTTTGGTGCACTTCTTAAAGAGAACTGAAACGCTGAGAAACGTGCTGAGCCCCCCGCCCGCACAGTTAAATCTGCCACTGCGAGGACCCTGAGCCTGACGATGTGTCAGTCTTCAAAGGTTCAGGTCAGACCTGCGCTCGGCGTTCGGCAGTGTCGTTCGTAACGTGAGGTTAAAGAGGAAACGAATGCATTAAGTCAATGAGAGGCCTCACGAAGAGCAGCGCAAATGCGTGGGTGTGTGCGGCGTCGCGAGGATGGATTATCTGTCAGCGAGCGGCGTCTCGTCTGTCAACACACGGAGCTGGAGCCGCGCTCTAATTATAGCAGCAACACTGTGAGTGTGTGTGTGTGTGTGTGTGTGTGTGTGTGTCTGTGTGATAAGGATGAGGCAAAGTTGCATAATGAAGAGGAGCAGGAAAATAATGTTAAGAAGAGGAAGAAGGATAATGAAGGAGATGAAAACGAGCGTGGAGGGAAGGAAACAGGAAAAGGAAAAATAAGAGGAAGAGGAGGTGGAGCAGCAGCAGAGGAGGGGAGGGAGGAGACAGAGGAGGTGGAGCAGCAGAGGAGGAAACGCAACCAAGTGGAAAGAAAATGAAAATAAAATAAATAAATAGAAAAAGAGGCTGAAAGTTTTCTCGTTGGAGCTGCTCGACGTGGAGCTTTTATGATTAACAGGAGATAAAGTATTCAGGACCACGCCTCCAACCACGCCTCCAACCACGTCCCCAACCACGCCTCCAACCACGCTCCTTCCACTTCTCATCTGTGTTCCCCCAGTTCTACAAGCGCTTCGTTCTCCCTCCACTTTTCAGTTCTTTAACTTCTTCGAGGCCGTCCCCAAACCGCAGCTCAGCTCATGCCTGAACGCTCACTTTCACCTTCATCCACTAAAACGCTGTCAAACCTCAGACGAGGACGCGGGCCCAGCGAGGGAAGTCCACCATCACTGGAACAAAAAGGGTAAGTAGCAGTCAGCGGATAATCAAGTCACATGACTGACTGATGGTCATCAGCAGCTCAGAGGTTTTGTCAGTGTGCAGGTGTATCAGCGCAGTGCTCATTATTAAAATGACATCATTTCCTGACATTGTGCAACAAAGAGCTGAGAGTTTACAGGCCTCGCTCCACCTGTAAAGGTTAAAGTTCATGTTATAGTGAACGGCTCGCAAAGCTGCTGCTGAAAACACGACTTGGTCTGTGGACGTGGAGATGTTTGTGCACAGCAGCATGTTTGGACAACAGCAAACACCTCAGACCAGCTGACGTCAGCAGGACGATGAAGGAAAAGCTGATGATGACGAAGACTTACACGTGCTTAGCGACGGCTGCAGCATCGCTGTTTCCTCTCTCTGACGAGACGAAGACAAACCTGTCCTTCATTTTCTGCAGAGACAGAGACACAGAGACTCTGCAGAGCTTTGAGGCAAATTATTTTTCTGCACAAAAAAGAAAACTTTGAACAGTTCAGCCTGACTGTCCTGGATAATAACACGAAGTTAAATATTGAGCGTCCTCTCCTGCCGCTCCAAAAAAGCTTACAATAGAGAGAGCAGCCCAGAGGCTAATATTTCAAAAACTAATCCCAGCACAGTGATGCATTGTGGGTCACTGAGGCAGCGGTTTGCTGAGAGCCTCCAGAAGGAAACAAAACAGCTCACAGATGCAGAAATGGCAGCCCAGGGTTACCTGTCACGTCAGGTACAAGCAAACGCGACAGAACGGCTGAAATCACACCCAACACAACTCGGATCTCTCCCAAAGAAGCCGGAGGCGCTGCTTCTGCTGTCAGCCGCCCGAGTAAAGAAGCAGATCAGAGGGAGGACACTCAGAACCACACAGGCTCATAAAAACAGCCCCACAAGATCACAGGAGATTCACTGAGCTCGGTCAAAGATGGCGAGAGCTTTAAGAGGTTTAAAGGTGGAGATGGTCGGTTTCTGCTGGAGCTGTGGTTTAAAAAACTGCACCCATCAAACACTTTGAACATTTGTTTCAGTGAGTTGAGACGTTTGTTCACCCCTAGCTTCAGATTGTGTTCTTACTTCACTATAATAACCTCGAGCTCGTCACACTGAGCTTTAACAGGGGTCACACGAGGCTGCTGCTCCTCGCTCTGCAGACACACAACAACAACAACGACACAACGCCGGGTCTCGTCAGGAGCGAGGGGAATCGGCTGGGACGTCACCGACACACCCAGCAGCTCCGCTCACCGTCGTCGGCTCTGCGCGGACGCCTGCCGGGCACACGGCGCTCCTACTTCCTCTAACCTGAGGAGAGCCAGAGCGGGCACAGCCACCCACACCTCATGTTTGGTTTCATATCTTTAAGTTTAATTTCATTTAGCTTCACTCTCGTTACACGCGCTGGGTCGCGGGAAACGCCGTCGGGATGCCGTCTACGTCCTGTACGTATCGCAGAATTAACAATAAAGCTTTAATTCGCCCTCCAATGATGCCAGCTGTCAGCGTCTGCACTTCCTGTGTGATTTCCCTCGATCGTCCTGCTCGGGCGTCTCTGCTCGCTGTGGAGGAGCTTCAGTGGAAGCTTCGTCTTTAAGGCGGCGAGATCAAAGCTCAGAGCGTGAATCATTTTTTAATAAGTAGGTTCAGTGTTGAGTTAAATCCATCAGTGTGTTGTAATGTAATCGTTTGTGTGCACAGCACTGGAACTAGCGTTGTGTGACTCTGGGAAGTGTCCGTTACTCCTCAGATCTTATCCCGGAAATTTGCCCAAGACTTCGGAGACATTAAAGCTGCGTCACCTGCTACGGAGCGCTGCAGGAGATCCTCAGCTGCCATCGTAACGCCCCAGAGCGCCGCGCTGCAGCGTTAACATTAACGTAATAATATTTCAGTGGAAACCATGGCAACCCACTCCAGGAAAACCATAATGTGTTATCTCTCGCCGAGTTCCCCGAACATCCAAAGAACTGAGCCTCCAGCAACACACACACACACTCACACACACACACGCACACACACACACAGGTTTTCAGCACTTCAGAGGACATTAAACTAACGGGGAAATTATGGTTCAGTGGTGCTCGTGCAGTTTCTGATGACCCGTCTACCTGCCGAGAGCGTCTGTTATCGACGGGGGCGGAGTCAGAACCGTGTGGTGCAGCCGGTCTGTGGCCACAGAAAGCGTCCCTGCAGCTGCTGTCGCTGCTCTCGTGTTGAAGTTTGTTTCATCTTTGATGGTTTCTTCCATTCCCA